AGGAAGCAATGATGTCTAATAAATGCTGAATAATCAAAAATTATATCGAATAAAGCTCTGTTACAACTCTTCTAAGTCGAATAAAAGCTTCTCGACATACCTTATTCAACACCAAATATTTCGATGTTGTGGTTGAATAAATTCTCCAGTTTTGTGTGAAGAAAGCCTGAACAGAAGTTATTATTAAAAATAGTACAAGTATTATTAAGCATGAAGTGGAATAAAATTGTCAAAAAGTCGTTTCATCAATAGGCAATTGTTTGTTGGGTTTTGGTAACATACAAAAATTCTACAATTCATATTAAATTTCCTATGCCGATCGAAACAAACGTTATGACGTCATTACAAGGGTGATTGAGTAAACGAATGAAACGAATGAAACGAATCGTGCGAAGCGGAATGAAAGCCGAGTGAAAACGTATTGCACACTCATAAAATAAATCACATAACCAGTAGAAAATATCCATGTGAATTTCACATAATTTTCATGTGATCCCATAAATCTAGATTACTCCACTAAATCACATGAACCTTATGTGTCCAATGAAAGCTATATGATTACTCATATGGAATTGATGTTATGTGATATTCAGATAAAAATCATTAATTTTGTTATTGGAAACATATTATGTGCGTTTCCAATAGAAACTATGCGGAAACTTTTTTTCGGTACACCATTACATTCAGGCCTACAATTCCACACTCATAATAATTTTCACGTCAATGCTACGTGAAAACATACATAGATTTTTTCCATCGCACTTTTCACGTAAGTGTTACGTGATTATCATATGAAAGCACTCATTTCAGTGAACGAGATGGTCACGGGGTTATCACGTAGATGTTATGTGATTTTTTCGATGGAATTCATGGTGGTTTTCAATGATTTTTATTCCGGTTTAAATCAAATGTATTCTTGATTTCAAATGAAAAAAGATCCTACAGTATTCCTTGACCATTGTATCTTTATAGTGGCAAATATACCTACACACAGAAGTAGAAATTAATTCGAGCGAAACTGGACTCGGGGAGGATATGGAACACATATGATAAAGGGCCATTTAACTAGCAGTTCAATCCATGGTACTCCTTGTCGTCAGACTAAAATAAAGAAACATATTACAAATTATTCTCGCCATAAAATTTGCCTATGATAAAATGTTCAGCCATTATACTTACAACACGAAATAGTCTCACGAAAATAAGCCCCACGATTTTAGCAGGCGTGTAAACATGCACATTGCAATTCCACCATATTGTGTACCATTCTGAGTGAGGCACTCATTTATTTTTTCATATGTGAAAATCACTTAGGGTTTACGTGAAATGCACATATAATTTGTGTATATGCAAATCACGTGCGTTTCATTAAAAAACCCAGTGACTTTAAAGGGACTTCCTGTTGATACGTATGTGGTATCACGTAGACTCTACTTGTGTCACGTAAATTTGACATAAAAGAGAAAAGAGAGACTCCACGTGATTTTTCACGTAACAATAACGTGTCGATTATTTTGAGTGCACACCTTCTATACACTCAGAATAATTTTCACGTTAATGCTACGTGAAAACATACGTAGATTTTTTCCATCGTACTTTTCACATAAGAGCTACACAGCAAAAAAAAATGTAATATCGATCAACGTAATTCAAGCTGATGTATGAAATAATGATGTAATAGAAAAAAGCAGATTCAATATTACATCAATGGATGTAATTTTGTTCGCAAAATCGATGTACATCGTACAATGTGATATTACACAACCGATGGATTGACCTGGTTGCAGCAGTTTCGATGTAATATTCAACAACTTTTTTTTGCTGTGTACGTGATTTTCATGTAGGGGCACTCATTTCATGAAACTTAACCGTCATAGGATTATCACATAGAAGTTACGTGATTTGGTTGGTGACATTCATTGGAGGATTCTAGTATCAATATTTTGACACTGTTTATACAAATATTTCCTTCATATGCAGATAAAATGTTTACTGTATTAATAGTAATAATAGTAATGTTCCTTTAATTTATTAATATTTTCTAAATACACCAAATCAGCATTTTTTTTAATTCGATACGCAGCACAAATCTGGACGATCATGGAGATGGGCCTAGATGCTTTTTTCCCTTGGGGAAGAAACTGCTGGACAGGTTGACATCATTCTGTTGAGTGCGATGAAACAGTCAGTTTGTGTTTGTCAAAGAGAAACAAATAATCCATAATTTTATACTCACATCTTGCCACTTTCTTTAAAAAAATACCGAACAAAAGCCCATTATTATGCCGCCATGATTTGCACAGCTCTGAGTGTACGTACCACTCTTTTGTTTACCTGTGGACATCTCATTAGCTTTACGTGAAACACACATGAGTCTATGTTATGTGAAAATCACGTACATTTCATTGATTGTGTAGGTGTGTTAAATAAGAACTCCCTGTGAAATTCAAGGGACATCACGTACATTCTACGTGAGCCACGTAAAACTGAGAGGAGAGGAAAAAGTGAGAACTTACGTGATTTTTCACGTAGCTTCAACGTGTAGATTATTTTGAGTGTAGACCAGGTTGAGCCTTGATAGTTAGGGGCTGTTCAGAAACTACGTAGACAGTTTAGGGGGGGGGGGGGGTAGACAATTATACACTACCCCATACAAATTTAAAAGAAAATTGTATGGACTACTGTCTGCGTGGTGGGAGGTGGGTCTAGAATCCAAAAAAACTGTCTACGTAGCTTATTAACAGCTCCTTAGCTGCTTGCGGGAACTGACTGAGGAAGAGGTGCAAATTGGCTTCTTCCTCTTTTATTTCTATCTCTATCTCTATCTTTATCTATCTCTATCTTTAAAGATAGCCAGAAAGACAGCGCACATGAAATCGGCCAATCAGGAGCTGGTTCACGTTTGACAGAAAAGTGGTTCATTTCGCCCCCGTATTGTCACCTCTTCTCTGAAGGCCCACCCACATTAGATCCGTTTGCGTTGCGTTGACGTAAACTTGACAGTTAGACAATAGATTTAGCTGTCACTTTGCCGCAACGTGTCCGATCCGGATCTAATGTGCGTGGGCTGAAACTGACATCGGATTGATGACCTTTACAAATGTCCAAAACATACATAGTCTTTAATTGGGTTCTTTAATTTTGAAAACTATCGGTTACTATACTGCCCATAAAAGCATATCAGTCCCATCTGGAAAAAAAAACAGCAAGCCGAGAAAAACGCTGCTGAAAATAAGTTTCTCTGTAGACTCTTATGGATGAGACAACCTAGTTTTGGTATTTTAACGATATTTCTTAAGCAAAACATGTAACTTTTAGTGAACAGAAATTCCGGTAGTTTACAATGGATACCTCATTTCTGACAAATATCCATATCGGACTGTCAAATCAAATTCATACGTTAGTAAATTTACGTTTCTTAAATATATTGAGCATATTTTTGCAATAGCTTGAAGGTCATTACCATAGGATTGTGAATAATATATAAAACATCCAATGCAATGCTGGTCAAATTGATTTCGAGACATATTCACCGCTCATGTCGTAGTTGAACTATCTATTTTTTGAATTGTCTATCTTTTCTGGCTCTTTAACGCATTTTTTTTTTTTCCTTTGGTTTGTTTTTTCCGTCGATCTTGTTTTCCGTGCTGAGCACCAATGCTACCGACGTGCCAGGAAGGCAGCTCCCACACCTGGACCCTACCTATCGACCAATCAACTCATGAACCGGGGACCAACGGCTTTACTTCCCATCCGAAGGAAGGCGTGATCAGAGATGTTATGCCTCAGAACATCCCGGCGGCGCCGACTGGGATTGAACCCAGGCCTGCTGGGGTGAGAGGTAATCACGCTTACCACTACACCACCGGCGCCGTTATCTTTAACGCATTATATGACATTTAAAATGTTAAGGTATTAGATATTGATTAAATACTTCTAAGGCCCTTTACATGCGAACCAAAGTACGCCCACGCAAACCAACAACATCATCGGATAGGGGCAACTATCACCTTTCCGAAAGTGGTATTGGTTTGCGTTGGCGTACTTTGGTTCGCGTGTAAAGGGTCTTAGAAAGTTTGTTTACATATGCTTTTGTGCCGTTATCAAATGTTATGCCTGATATATTTTAAGTTTAATTTTTGACTGAGCGGTGAACGGAACCCTTGACCGTTGTTGGGTCTCCATTCACCGCTCATATGGATGTAAACAAAAGTATTTTTGCGACAATAAACAGTGAAATTAAGGTTCCGATGGTTATATATGATTAGCAGGCATCTTAAACCAGTTAATAAGTTGATTAAATGCATGTTTAGGAGTTTGGGAACTTTTTCAACCAATTTTGACAGAATGGAGGTAGAGCGGTGAACGGGTACCACACAAACACGCTGCTACTGTAATCTCACTTATGTAAAATAGTTCCAGTGTACCAAAATTGATGACCTTTTGGATTTCGGTTCTATTTTTAATGCAGATTACGAATTTGCAATGCCCCTAAAGAACCCAGTTGGTTTAGCATGGTCTTGCATTATAGCTGCGCCTATACCGACTGAGCTATGGGAGGCCCCTCAAAATAATCACAGGATGTCATCAACAAATAATTGTACAGGAGACACATGAATTAATTATTTTTGATCTTTTTGATTTGTATTTTCGTTCAATTGAGAACCACTTATGATTAGTGCAATCCCTTAAAAACTAGACATGGTTAAATACATCTTACACATACTAAATTTGTATTGAAATGGTTCCCTAGCTATGAACCAGGCCTGCTCGTCAACACTGCCAACATTATTCGCATTCGTTTAGGCAGAGTTTTCAAGAGGATGGAAATGTTGTTTTCAACAGTTTCAATTACTACCCTAATGACTCGAAAGACTTACTTAAGAGAAAAAAAATAATATTTCTTCTGACCTTCAGTTCAACTAACAAAATGACATAGACAGTGAAACAAAAAATGGGACAGTCTGGGAAATGTTTAAACAGAACAAAAAATTTGGTGAGTGTGATCGAAATAATAGTCATAGGTATGCGAAGAGTTGATGAGAGGACAGTTTTTGATTATGATGTAAGCTTTGCCTGACTCCTGTTGGGGGCGATGGGGTAGTCAGCTCGCACAAAGCCATCCAAACAAAACTTTGGCATGATTCCAGCGGTAGTATTTTCCGTTTTCAATCCTCGTTGGAAAAAGGGGAAGGAAAATTACAAGAATGTGTCGTAGTGTAATCCTGAGCACATACGCACCTTATAACAACTGCAAAAGAAAGGATTTAACGATACATTAACAAAATCGTAAACTAATAAATTGAGATTGTCAAGCTGATTCGTTTCGATGTTGCATTCGCTCGTCGTATGTGTACAGAGTTTTGGTGCAAAAGCCGCATGTTGTTGTCCCACCCAGACCGTTTGGGTGGGATCAAACTCTTCGAATTCGATTCTTTATTTACAGAGATGATTTACTCTTGCCTACTACCTACTCTACTCTGATCAGTATTTATGTGTATAAGATTCGCTCGACTATATTTACAGGATGCGAATTTTAGAATAAATGCAGTTCATTGTTCTCTCGTTGTGGGTAATCGGTGTAACGCTTACAAACTAAGAGTCTTTTACTTTTGTTTCTTCTATCCTCAACAGGAATAATACATTATTATACGGCGACTATTTTGCTGGGATCCACTTTGACGCGCAGGAACACGGTGTCTTCGCGGACGAATGGCCTACGGTTCAGAAGCTCGTGCGACACGAATCGTGGGAATCCAAACCCGAGGGAATCCGGCTCGGTGGACGGACGCTGGAAGTTTTCCCACGAAGGATCGGGTACGAATGATTCTGCAACTCCTCCCTGGCTTCCCATGGTACCCTGTTCGAACAGGGTGAATGTGACTGAGTGAGAGAATGGCCATTTGAGGAGAGCATCATATTCGCCCGGGAGGACCTTGATGTACACGGAGACATGCGTTCCTTCGCCCGGGCCGTTTCCGTTGAGAAACATGGAAGCCTGTAGTTTATAACCGTACTGGCTGGTGTAGAAGGGCGGTGAGACCAGCTCCAGACCATCCTTGCTTTTGGCTTCGACCATTTTGGCTGACCAATCGGTGATTTTCCACAGCAGAGTACCGGTGTAGTTGGTGCTGAGTTTGGCCATAGCAGTTTTGAGCATGTTGATTTGCTGTCCCTGCCGACCGGACAGGGCAACCATCAGTGACAAATGGGCGGAGGTGTTGGATTCAAGGTGAGCTTCCAGCAGATGGCGTGGTCCCTTGAACCGGCAGCCGGCATCTTTGAAGGTACAAGGTACTGATAGCGCTTTGCATTCGTCACGTAGGTGACCTTCCAGGTCGGCCCTTGCGAATGGGCCCGCATCGCAACGCTGTGGGCATGGCACTGGGCTTCGTGGACACGTGGCTCCATGAGCAGAAAGTGTGTCGGCGCTGAACTCACGGCTACAGTGCGGACAACGACGCAACCGCTTGGCACAATCTTTGGCACGGTGGATAGACATGCGGCCACGTACGACACGTGCTCCACATTTCGATTCGCAATAGATCGGCTCGGAACTGCATGTTCCCGCATGTTCCTCCAGTCCGAGTCCGGTGAACTCCACATTGCAAAATTCGCAGATGGCACGACGCAGAATGCAGGTGAAGGCCAGATGATCGGTCATCATCACCCGCGGGATTTGCGATCCGCACTTGTTGGGACACGGGATGGCATCGTGCTTGCAGGTGTTCAGGTGAGCCTGGTTGGGAGAAAACGACAGAAAAAAAAGAAACATAATTAGCGCGAGTGGCTGGTTGCTGGATATTTATTCGTTTTGCAGGCTGCAAATGGTAGGTTACAGCAAGTAAAGTCAGTGGACGAGAAAGCAGCAAGTGGCAGACACGAGAAAAAGTTCAAACAACGACCGTAACTGTGAGCCAGAGCACGTTGTTTCTATATTGTATGTGGCTTAACGGTCTTCTTAACCTGATTCCATCGGTCGTCGGTCGGTGCGGGAGATTTTAAAAACAACATTCTACCGGTTCGGTTGGGTCCCGTATACCTTTCGCGGGATTTCAATTAAATCATATTAGCGAGATAACGCGCGCGCACACCCAATCATCGCACGCCGCCGCTGGCTGGTGAAACGAACGTTCTGGGCCGAAAGTAATTACATTATTATATGCGCGGGCAGGAATCTACTACTTTACAGGTGATATTTTCGAAGACTAGCGCTAGAGAGGTGCTTCATCCGAGAGTGGAAGGCACCATTTTTGCGTAGGCTTCCGAGACTCGGCGCAATGTTGATTAATCTGCTGTTAGCCATTTGTGGAGTCGGTGAATCGAAAAAATGGAAAGGAATGGCGACTAATATTTACACCTACTGCAGGTAGGTATCCTCGAGGCTGAAACTTGTTTCTCACCGTGTGGCGGTGACTTGGGAACTTCGTCGTGTTGGTTTGACCGGGTAGAAGCAAAAAAACAAACTTTTATCCTATAGGGTAAATGAACCGTGTTGGGGACACTAAGAGTGTTGTAATAATTCTAATATAATAAGCTAGAAAATATGATTTTCGCCAAGTTTTTGAACTCCAAATATATAGGTCTTTGAGACCATTAGATAAATAATATCCAGGAATTGACTTATTAGATCACTTATAATTAACACAGATCATATCAAGGAGCTTGTCCAAAGTGCTGTAATATTTGCATTGCTTAGCTATAAATTTTCATAATGATTCAATTCAGGATTTTGCATTATTTTTTTTCGACTTCACAATCATTGTAATTGTTATTTATTTAGTCAAACGTAATCCTGGAGGATGAACCCTTTATTAGAACACGCACACTTAGATTTTTTGCCGGGATGGGCACCACCGAGCAGCTCGGCACTTTATTTTGGTGGATCTCAGTGAAAAATTTTCCGATATTCAGCTAAATTTATGTTCGTTAGCTGAGATCTCGGCAAAATGCTCGTTTGTTAGCTGAATCTAGGCAAGTTTTTCACTGAACTCCAGCAAAATAAAATGCCAAGCAGCTCGGTGGTGACCATCGGGGCAAAACATCTAAGTGTACGGGAGGGCACATTAGATATTGATACAGATAGAAGGCAGAATAAGCCTTTTTTTAGGTGAAATAAATTTTCAACTCCTTGCTATCCTCATACCTGACTATGTCGGGTTTTTATATTTTGTGTGAAGAAGGTAATACCCCGTTCACATTATAGCGTATATCATGTGATATACGCTGGCTTGCAATGAGCACTCATACATCTAGTTTTCACTGGAAATCCTATGTATTAGTGCTCATTGCAAGACAGTCTATATTACGTGATATAGGCTGTAATGTGAACGGGGTATAAGGTAAAGCTTCTTTACAAAGGAGGCTTTCAGTCTGGGCTGGTTATGGGCAGATTAAATTCCCCTCCTTTTTTCTTCCATCGCGTGACAATTCAAAAAAACCATTCTGTTTTCTTTTAATGTTTGCACAATATTTCAAGGGAAAGACATTGTAAACAAAATTCTGTTAAAATATTCCACTAGGAACGCTGTCCCGGACAAAGAGAAGTGTTATAAGTATAAGTTTCAAAAGAAATAATCTAGTTAATATTTAGATTACATACACAGAAATGTAAGATACAGGATTATCAAAAATTGTAAAAATTTTGGGACTTCAGTAGTAAACAAATTTCAAGATTCTCGTCGTAGAGAACTTTTCAAGATTATGGGGCTGTAAATATTCGAGACATCGGACTTTGCATATTTATTAGTAAAAATTATTTGTCAAAGTTTCAATCAAATTCCCAGTTATTTCCCGGTTAATTCCTATTTTTTACCGGTTCAGTGGCCACCCTTACGACATTCAAAGTATATATTTTTTGGATGAAAATGTTTAAAACTCAGAAATTTTGCAAAACATGAAATAGTATAAACAGCCATGATTGATCCTTGAATTTTTTACATGAATTAGAACAACATAGGGAAAATTACTCTGATGTTGGTCTATGGATCTTAATTGGGTTCATCGATAAAATTCTCCAATGATGTTCAATTTTTCTTACACAGCAAAACAAGTTTCAACATCGATCAACGTAATCCAAGAAATTAGATACAATATTTCATACATGGATGTAGCTTTGTTCGCAAATTCTGTGTACATCTTGATTGTAATATTACACAACCGATAATTTTGTAAATTAACGTATGAACTCAATATTAGGGACACTAAGGCCGACATTAAGAACACCAACCCTAGTAACTTTTAACTGCAATCATTTCATTCTGCAAAGACCATTTTTCACCTGTATTGTACTGCCGCTCATGGCAAGTCCGTCCAATAGCACAAATCAGCAGGCCAAGAAAAATGCGTTTAAAGTTTGGTTCTCACCATTGCTTTTAATATTTGGCTATTTTTTCAAACTTTCCCAGAACAAAATTATTGACTTCATCTAGTTAGGGTACAGTGTTCACTCGGCTGTCGACAAAAACAGACTACTCACGATGTGTGTCACATGATCGTCTGTTTACTCGGCAGCAACCATTGTATGGTCCTCCTCATTGATCTTTATCAGCAGTTCTTTCAGTCGATGCGTCGTCGACTTTGAAAAGCAACCGTTTCGTGATGAATGTGTGAGCACTGACCACGTTTTGCGTCCATTGCTGCAATGGAAGCGCTCTGCTCCCCGTTGGCGAATCTGTCATACAATGAAACCACTGGCTTATTGGATAGCTGAAGATAAAATGTTTATTGTGTTGTACCTTTTGACTATAGTTTTTAGATGTATTGTATAGTGAACAAGAATTCTCGGCTCTGTAAAGTTAATTCGGTTGAGCCTTATCAAATAAATTAATAAACAAAAAAAAAGTTAGGGTAGAGAACTACTTTGGCCTAATCGGCCATTTTGGGACTACCGAGCAGAAAACTTCAAATAAATCCATGATTAGAATTAACAAGTCAATTATGCGTTTGGTACGATCAGTCTTGTAAGCGGTCACGGTAGTCGACACATTTTCTGTGATAATTGACTGCCTTTGCCTCCGACACTTGCAAAGCAAGCTATCATAGTACAGTACCAAACTAAAATGTCGTATGACAGGCTCTGTCATACGACACTGTTGCTGAAGACCGTCACGAATGTATGTATTTAAGTTTTTCTCATAATAGGAGCTGCTGATGATGTGCTTGTGTGAATTCTGAAAATAGCAAGCAATGATGTCCTAGTAATAATATTTCTGATCAGAAATGGTTTGATTTACACCAAATTGAGGAATTACAACGAAATCACACATGTCATATGATAGCTATTTTGATAATTTTCTTTTAGCTCGAATGTTATTCTACCGCTCCTATTGTGTGAGAGAGACGACGGTAGAGCATGAGTGTTCGAATACAAACAGACTGTCGCGCACGACAACGAAGCGAGTGTAGTAGAAAACGTCAACTGTTTCAACCCCTGGGTACGATACTTTAGTTAATAAATGACCGAACGAAGTCAATGAGAACGCGTGATATGAAGGTTTGCACCCATTATTCCCAAAAACAAAAGAAGCGCTCTGACCGAATCAATTTTTATCTTCATCCGATAGGCCGAAGTGAATACATTGGCGTTTCAATGCGTTAGGCCGGGTTTAGAAACCGCAGGCCGAGTTTGGCGTCAAGAAGCAGTGTTAGACGTTAGAAAATATCTCAACGATTGGTTTCTCTTTATCAAATATTACGGTACGTACAGAAAGGTAAATAAATTTCGAAACTATCAATAATAATAACATTCCATTTGGTGATAAACTGCGCTAGATTAAGAAATACTAAGTGCAGGTTGTGCTTAATATGCCGGAAATGGAGTAGTTAACCCTATTATGAAAAAGTATTTAAAAGGAAGAAAAGAAAAAGTACTGTAGATAGTGTTGTTCTCCTGAACTGAAATTTTTCGTTCACATAGAAGCTCTTCAAACTAGGATAGAGAATTATTTTGGCCTAATCTTGGGCCTATAGAACAGAATACATCATATAAATCCATGATTTTAACGTTAACAAGTCAATTACGATACTTTAGTTCAAAAGCAACTGAACAAAGTCAATAACAACCCGTGATATGAATGTTTGCACTCAGTTTGGGGTCAAGAATCAGTGTGATTTTTCTATATTTATTTTCCGTCGATATTGTTTTCCGTACTGAGTACCAATGCTATCGACGCCAGGGAGGCAGCTCCCACACCTGGCCACCTACCTATTGACCCATCAAATCATGGACCGGTGACCAACGGCTTTTTACTCCCCTCCCTTCCGTGATCAGAGATTTTATGCCTCAGATAATCTCGGCGGCACCAACTGGGATTGAATCCAGGCCTTTTGGGGTGAGAGGCAATCACGCTTACCACTGCACAACCGGCACCGCTGGATGCAGTGTTATATTTTTATCATTATCTCAACAATTTGTTACTCTTATCAAATCTTACGGTACGTACGGAAAGGTAAATAAACTTAGAAGGAATCTTCAGTGAAAACATGCAATTTTGAGAAAAATAATCCGCTCGAAAAATAGAGGCAAAGGGCGGCTTGTGCTTAGTAGGCCCAACATTAGACCTTAGCCCTACATAGTAGGTAAACAAATTAGCGAAAGACATTGAATCGCTACGCCGGACCCCCGAAGAATTAATTATTTTGTTTAGCTAGATTGCTGATTTTGGTTTTCTGTATAATGTAGCCTCTAGGGTTCCAAAATTTGGAGGAACCAAAATAATGACTGCAAGCTTTATTTGAGCATCTCATATGCTAGCATAATAATAATTAGTTTTTTTTTCCTTTTGATAGTGAAATGTGCTGAACTTTACTAATAATACTATGCATAGTGTATGAAACACATGCTTAAAGTTGATACCGTTAGATTTACGTGTAATCTTTAATTTTACATGTTTTTCAATCCTAATATTCCGAGTTTGGTAAAGGAAGTGAAAATAGTTAAACGTAACCGGTTTACACGTCCATTTTTTTTCCCTCGTGACCGTTCAACTACCAAAACGTGCCTCGATAGATGCCTGTTTCATATTATACCATCTAAACAACATACGCTCTCAACAATCGATGTACGTAGGTAAGTACTAAATTGTGACGAGACGACCCAAACATTTGTTTTCGGTTACCAGAAAATGGCACAAAGAATCGAATTTGGCATGCCACACGACCGCGCACCGAACACCGGCGGCGCCTTGCATTTTTAATAGCTTGCCAAAAACCGAAATAAGAGAGAAGCAAGAAAAGTAGGTAAATTGCAAAGTAACCACAACTAACCGGCTGACTAAGCTGAAGAGAATCGCACTAAACCTACATGGGAAGGAAGAAGACGTGTGTTGAGTTGAGTGGAATAATTACCTTCAGTTTGCGCAGTTCGTCGGACCACTTGCAGCCCTGCTTGTGATGGATACAGAACACCAGCGATCCCATGATGGCCTTCTCTGATTCCGGGTCCGGGTAGATCTGCGAATTGGAAGAAGAGAAATAAGTTATAGCGCGATTAATGTTTCGATAATTGAGGTGTATCGAAGAAGAGGTTATCTCTATCGATGAATGGGTTGATCATTCTAAATGGGTTCGTCAGGGGCGGGTAGAACCACTTCCAAAATCTAGATAATCAATAGGTAATTGGGGGAAGTTTCACACTAAATAAGATGCGTCACGCTTTGCGCTACTATTCTGAGGATTGGAAATTGGACCGTTTTCAAATATCCACATCCTGTGCTGCGATCAATCGGCAGAGATGTCTGTTTGCGCTTGCCCAATTTTAGAAATGACTTTTCGAACGCGGTTATGCAAGGCACTTTCTTCTTAATGGTTACCCACCACAAAGTCTCCGATCATCGCGTTTTAAGAACGGAAATCAAAACAGAACGCAGATCGATGCGAGTTCATAACTGGATCGGAAAAGACGAAGAGTGTACTTTTATCGCCAGACTGAAATATGGGAGGAAGAAACCAATTCATTTCGGGATTGGAACACCATGCTTGTGTTTACTCAAGGGTCCGATAAGAACTTCAAATTTCCCCGATGAATATGCGACGTACGTACGCACGCACGCACGCAGACGGCGATCGCAGTGTCTGAGTCGGTTCAAATGGACTCTCCCCATGACATCAATCACCGCGAGTGCATACCTCATAAATATATTCAATGCAACTTGCAGTACAGAGTGTGGGAAAACGACCAGCTTGGTAGAGAGTGGTTTGTCCCTTACTGGCTTGACAAGTTGACCTTGTTACACATAGGCCCGACAGCATATTTGAAATTATCTTATTTATTTACTTCATTTCTAGATCAACCAGTGCAAACAAAGTTACTTATCAGCTACGCACTGTTCGTAATCAAGAGTGGTTCAACGATCCGTGCTGCATTCGATTGTCCCTTTCAATATTGAACGACGTAATCGGTTGTATGGTGGTATGTATTCAATATTTCTGCTCATCACGCTCATCAACATCCTCATCATCATCATTGGGAGAAAGAAGCCACGCATAATCGCAGCAGGCCAGCAATAAAAGAAGCACGCTTGATCGAAAGGGTCACCGGAAATGAAGCACTGCCTCGCCGCTTCTGCTGCCGACTGGTCGATCAAATGAAAGCTTATTTTGCCTCTTCTCTTGCTGCCGTTCGCATTCGCGATTGCCCATAATATATTTCAATTCTGAGCTGGGGGCCTTCTAACAAAGGTCTTCCGGGGGAAAGATCCAAACCCCGCCGAAGAACGGGTAACTTTCCGTCGATTGACCTTGCCTTGTGCCTTCTGAGCTCCTACGATATAGTGAGTTGGCTCGAGCGCTCAATGAGAAATTAATTATTTGCCTGCTGTGATCACTTCTTACTAAACTGGTGGCACCTTATGGTTGACTGGCTTAGAACAAAGTCGAACTCATTACTCATTCTAATGACTTTGGCTCTTATTATTGGAAAGAAACGGTTTATTATAAGATTTTTTTTTTCATTATGGAGTTATTATAGCACTGACGTTAAAGCTGGGTCCGCTTTGAATCTGCACGTATGCAATCGTCTAAATTAAACATAATGAACTGAAAAGGATTTTTGATTTTAATAAAAATCGCATCTTTCTTCAGCCCTTTTTTGAAAACCTAAAAAAATATGCAAAACTGGGGATAATTTGTGACGTCTTTGACCACAAAATCGATGCCGTTGTCTTTGTACCACTGTAGAACCTCCCAACTATAGTTACATCTGGCAAGATCTAGTCAGAACTTCACGTGACGTACGAGGGATCGAATGAACAGTAGAATATTTATCTGGACATAGTTTTTTTTTTGTAAAGCTCGTCGTTTACCGTACGAAAACAACTTGAATTTAACACAAACTTCCTACGCGGAACATCCCGTAAAAAGTATCCAATTATATCTCATCAAGCTATTGGCATTTTGTTTAAATTCATCAATTTAATGACATGTTAATAGCTTATTCTGCTATCTGATCAAATTTATCTCTTGAATTCATGATAACAAAATATCATAACAGTAACAAATTATGCTTTGATAGCAAAATAAGCTGTTACTTGCCAAAAAGGACAAAATTAGCATTAATACAGTGTATGAACTGACATTACGCTGCTTTTACTGCATGTGTTTATTTTTGTGGCCATAAAAATTACATGAGATTTTCGACATGATTGAAGTGCATCCTCTTGGATGTAATATTAGAATTTATTTTTTGCTGTGTATGGAATGAAAATGCTCTGAGTCAATTGAATTCAGTCGCTGCAGCTCATGAGTTTTTGTGGTTGGCCGTTCAGGTGAATCTTTGTCATTGCCGAAAAAATGAATGAGATTTGACGAAGGTTTAAGCGAGAGTCAATTCCTTCAGTGACAATGTCTAAATTTGAATGACAAATCTTAGCAGAGCGTAAGATCATAAAGTCATGTGTAATCTCCAGGACAAGCTCAGAAGACCCCAATAACCAGTCTACAGGACATTATCTCTCTTACACGAGCTTGTGCCAAGTTGAAGGTTTCAACTAAGTGTTCTTTGCCAATTGTCTCAAGTAATTTTTAAGTGAGAGCTTTCAATGTCAATGTCAACTTGCATGGCAAGTACACAATGATGCCTAGGGAAGTCGAGAAAATGTTTAACCCTAAAGATTTTCTAGACCGGACCAGAAAACGAACAGCCACCTTTGGTTAGATAGTACCGTGCCATAACTTACTTGGATATCGGAGGCCCTTTACTTCAAAGATCTATCAAATCGAAATTAGCTAAAAATACGCAAGAAATGGCCCCGCAAAAAAAAGTACAATAAGGTTTCATTATACGGAACCCGAGCAGGAACGAATATATCGATACCTTAAATTGGTGTGGATGATCCTGACATACACTGATGAAAATTTTCACACAGCGTTTATTAGGAACGCACATAATATTTAAAAAATTAATCTTTTTCATCTGAATATCACATAGGGTAGAGAACTACTTCGGCCTAAGCGCCCATTTTGTGCCTATCAAGCAGAAAACATCAAATAAATCCATGATTTCGGCGCTACCAGGTAAACTCTGCTTTTGGTACGATACTTTAGTTTAAATGCTACCGAACTAAGTCAAAAGAACGCGTGATATGAATGTTTGCATCCAATATTCTCAAAAACAAATGAAGTGCTCCGACAGAATCATTTTTTAACCCCATCCGATAGACCGAAGTGAATTCATTGGCGTTTCAATGGCATTTCAATGCATTAGGCCGAGTTTAGAATCCGTAGGCCGAGTTTGGCGTCAAGAAGGAGTGTTAGACTTTTAACAATATCTCAACATTTGGTTTCCCTTTATATTACGGTACGTACGGAAAGGTAAATAAATTTAGAAGCCATCAGTAACATTCCGGTTGGTGCTAAACGACGCTAGATTAAGAAAGACTAAGTGTGGGTTGTGCTTAATAGGCCGAAAATGGGGTAGTTAACCCTATCATAATAAATTCTATGTGAATAATCATATGGATTTCATTGGACACATAAGGTTCATGTGATTTAGTGGTGCAGTTTCCAATTATGGGATCACATGAAAGTTATGTGAATTTCACATGTATATTTTCCACTGGTTTTGTGATTTGTTTTATGAGTGTAAGAGGTAAAATACAAAAAAAAAATTACACCCAAAAAAATTCCCACAATACTATTCCAATACCAAATTATGATAATGCAATACCAAAACAACACCACACGGGTATTTTTTGGTATCCAAATATCAATTTTTGTTATTTACAAAGTATTTTGCATGTACCGTAAAACGAGGTAACATTGATAGTTTTTTAAAGCATATTCTAAATATTTTTTACAGCAATGACTGTTCTTCAAATTTTATATTTTTAAAACAAGCACTGAGGATCCAAGAGTTAATTCGTTAGTAATATGTTGAGCGAAAATTAAAGCATTTGCACTATTTTTTTAGTTTTGTGACCAAACTTCAGTATTTTGTTTCAATCGGCTGAAGTAAGTTAATAATTTGATCGCCGTTCATTCGAAATGACGAAACTTAGGCTGGTCAAAATTTGCAAATATAATTCGAAAAAAGACTAAAAATTAAGGCTTTCTGTTTTCAATTTGGAATCAGGGTTTTCTTTTTCTTTGCGTAGATTTACGGCCACTTAACAGTGCATCGCTTGACGCGTATGCCACTAACTGTATGTTTTGTTTTACATTTTTAATTATAGTTCACCGACGGTTGCTTTTAAAAGTTTTTGTGCATTTGTCCAACACAGTCAAAAAAACACGGTAAGCCACCCGTGAATGATTTATGAACCTCTTGTGAGACGTACGCGCATACTACGCCGTCTACTTTGTCAATGCTACGAAGGGGCGCCCAAATTGAAGGGGAGACGAGTCGGTGGCACTCATGTGTACCAAAACATTTTCTGCGGTCTATTTTTTATGATCAGGTCTGTCAAAAAAGTGAAAAAATTTCACCACTGGGAAAATCCATTCAGTTATAAAAAAAAAAAAAAAAATGCGTGCCCGAAACTTCGGAGATCGCAGGAAACGTCAAACCGATTGTTTGCACTAGTTGGCAGCTGATGGTTGTTTGCATTGCGATCGTCTACTAGCGATACGGTTGGTTAGAGACGAGATATTTTTAGCCTCCCGGATGGTCCAACGAGTTTATGCAAATACATTATGATGGGCTGCGCAAAACAGATAGCCTTCAAAGAAATATCAAAATGTAAACACAAGTGGCTAAGGTCGTCATTGTCACCGTCGCCGTGATGCAAGGAAAGATATGTGGGAATTTATGGCATGGCATGACTTGTTATCTTGCTAGGAGACGACCTGGATTTTCTTTAGAAAAAGGAGAAACGAGCTCCCGGCTTGTTCTCGGAAGGTATGGATAAATGCGTGAAAAGAAAGCAGTGTTTGGTTGTAAATGATTTGACACTGACCGTCCCTAGATCAGGCAGTATTGATTTATCGGTATACAGTACGTAAATTGGCATGGAACC